TGATTCTACCTCATGGCTATGACCCGGATGAGGAGGATGAGCCTGCGTACTGTTTTCTTGCCCCTGCACCAGAGGAACCAGCTAGCATGGAGGAGGCATTAGCTGGACCAGATAGGGACAAGTGGCTGGCTTCTAGGGATGCTGAGTACCAGAGTCTGCTGGAGAATAGGACATGGGATCTGGTGGTGCTGCCTGATGGGAAGAAAGCGATACAATGCAAGTGGGTGCTGAGGATCAAGACCGATGACAAGGGGCAGGTCACCATCTACAAGAGTAGGCTGGTGGCGAAGGGGTTTATGCAGAAGGAGAAGCAGGACTTCAACGAGATCTTTGCTCCCACTGCCAAACCCCCTACCCTCCGTGTCTTGTTGGCAGATGCAGCTGTTAGTGGGAAATTCATCATTCAGATGGATATTTCAACGGCATTCCTGAATGGGATTTTAGAGGAGGATGTGTACATGACGCAGCCGCCTGGGTATGAGGATGGTACGGGCAGGGTGTGCAAGCTCAACAAGTCCATCTACGGCTTGAAGCAGGCGCCACGCTGCTGGTACCAGAAGTTGGCAGCTGTTTTAGAGGAGATGGGATTCAGGACCAGCAGCTGTGATGAGAGCCTCTTTCTCAAGGGCGAGGGGGAGAAGCTGGTGCTGTTTCTGGTCTATGTGGACGACATTCTTCTCTTCAGCAGCAGCATGAAGGAGATCCAGAAAGTGCAGCAGCAACTGATGGAAAACTTCAAGTGCAAGAACCTTGGGGAGGTAAAGTACTACCTCGGGATGCACGTGGAGAGGGATCCAGATCACATGTGGTTGAAGCTGCACCAGGAGAAGTTCATCAAGGAGCTGGGGGAGAAGTATGGGATTGAGAATGAGCGCAAGGTTGCAACTTCCCTGCCAGCAGAATTCAAGCTTGTGAAGGCTGCAGAGGATGAAGGGGTTGAAGCTGAAGAGCAGCAGCAATTTCAGTCCTTGGTGGGCAGCCTCTTGTACGCAGCAGTTCACACGAGGCCCGACATCTCTTTCTCGGTTGGGCAGCTGGCTAGGGTGGTGCAGAATCCATCAGAGGAGCAGGTGGATGCAGCTGAGCGTGTGGTGAAGTACCTGAACTCTCACCCAAGCATTGGAGTTCAATACTCCGCATCTGCACAGGTGAAGCAGAAAGGGGTGGAGGTGCTGAAAGAGAAGGGGGAGAGGCTTGGAGAAGGCAAGCTATTTCTCACTTGCTTTACCGATGCTACGTGGGCTTCTGAGAAGGAGGATTCCTCATCTGTGGGAGGATATATCTGCGTAGTTGGGGGAGGACCTGTTAGTTGGAGGTCCAAGAAGCAGACGGAGACGGCACTCTCTTCCGTAGAATCAGAGTACATGGCGATGTTCCATGGGGTGAAGGAAGTGATTTGGCTGAGGAGGCTGTTAGAGGAGATTGGCCAGGAGCAGAAAGTTGCTACGCCGCTGTTTTGTGATAGCAAGGGGGCTCTTGGGATGGCCAGAAACGCTGTGCTTCATGGGCTGAACAAGCACATGCGTATCAAGTGGCACTGGCTGCGTAAGGAGGTGAAGAGGGGGACGGTGAATCCAATCTACATCAAGACTCACCAGCAGCCAGCAGACTTTCTCACCAAGAGGCTTGCGGATGAGCCTCATTGGCGTTGTGTGCGCATGAGTGGAATGAGCATGAACTAGCATGGAATGATGAGGATGCAGCCGGCAGGCTGAGGGGGAGTGTGTTGGATGCAAATGCACATTGCACGACATCCTGCCGTCTGTTTGTACGAGTATGCGTGTGCGAATGCATTTGCGTGTGAATGGTGTGTTCGTGTGTTTGTTTGCTTTCGCAATTTTCGCTTGATGCATTTGCAGGTACTCGCGCAATGTGCGCTTCGGCACAACATTGTACGCGCTATGAACAGTGCAAGCAGAAAGGACGAGCTCGCAAAGGAACCCAAGATGGAAGCTTTGCAGTTCGGTTGAGTTGATTGCGCAGATTCAGTTCTATCCAACTCGAAATTGTACTGTTTTGTTTGGTTAACTATAGTGTAGCAGGGAAGGCACTATAGGGGTACAATTTAGGTGAAGGTTGGATGTTGTTTGTCTGTATCTGCATGCTACAAGGCCAGGGGAAACCAGCGGAACCAGCATTTGGCTGGTTGGGCAAAGACAAAACAGGTTCTGTTTTTAGAACCTGAACCTGGTTGTTGTTTTCCCAGGTTGGAAAAACAGAACCAGAGGTTGTTTACCAACCTACCACCTGCTATTTTGTCCAGCCAGGTTGGTTCTGTTGCTTGGAATTATTTGGGATCATCCCTGGTTGTTCCCAGGTTGATTCCCAAGGTCCTTGCTAGCTAGAACTATTTAATCCTTTTCTGTTTGTACCTGAATATAGTCAAATTGATTCAAGCGAATTCCTTCCTCGCTGGAATTTCATTTCTGCGCTATTCGACGGCGGAATGCTACCCGAGTCAACGCTAGTATGCTAGCACTCCAACGCTAGGCAAACGCTGTCCGAGCCATAACTTAGTAATGGCAGAACTTTTCGCGAGGCAACTTGGCTCATTTTAAAGCTCTTGGAGCGAGCTTCGATATAGCGAATTCTCAGCTTAATCCGACCGAAGGTTTGCACGGCACGCTGCGCGACGTTCAAGGTACTCTTGCTGTTTTGACAAAGTCCTTCTTGATCCCTCTCTCTACAAACTCGGACCCGAGGATAGGGGCTGGTCTTGTACCAGGCACCCAGGGACCCTTGGAGGTGACCCCGAGGAGAGGTTTTAAGTTTGATTAAGTCCTAATAGCTTGAGTTTATTAGGCCTTTACACCAACAGAAGCTGTACTGATGCAGGATCACAACTGCAACGGTTTACAGCCTATCGCCTACCTCAGTAAAAAGCTACACGGAGCAGAACTGAACTACCCCATTCACGACAAGGAAGCCTTAGCCATAGTCGTAGCCTTCAAGGTGTGGAGGTATGGAGTTTACACTGACCACTGCAGCCTCAAATACCTGAAGTCGCAGCCGACGCTCTCACGACGACAGGTACGGTGGGTGGTCTAATTGAAGACCCACTTCCACTACGACATCGTCTACAAACCTGGGCTCCACAACAAAGCTAACTAAGCCGCCCAGGTCATATAGCAGGCACCTAGCTCAACGGGATGAACCCTCTGCTCAAGGGTCTATCCAGCATAGGTACTCCGTAGCAACGACAAAAAAAAGAAGCTGTTACAGTGGGATAAAGACTTAGCGGTAAGAAAGGGCACAGGAAAGATCATGAACTACGCCCCGCTACGGCAGATCCTATTGGAGGAGTTTCACGACGTACCATACGCGAGACATTTCGGGAGCAACAAGACGCTATTGAGCAGGAATAGCAAAGTATTACTACTGGCCCCAGATGGCAGCAGACGTGCAACAGTTCGTCACCTCATGCGACATGTGCCAGTGGATGAAGAGTCGCAAGCCGGAAAAAGTAGGGTTATTCCAGCCTCTACCCATACCGGAGCAGCCATGGCAGGTCGTTAGCCTCGACTTTATGACGGGACTTCTTTCGACCTCACGAGGGCATAACGTCAACCTCGTAGTGGTCGAGAAATTCACCAACGCCACAGCTACAGCTGAAGCAACTGCTCGTCTCTTCTTCGACCGTATCATCACCATCCACGACATCGACGACATCCCCTTTACACTCATCTACACTTACTCTTAGTACCACTCATATGGCTAAGTAAAGCACTTACTTTTAATACCACTCATATCGCTAAGTAACGCACTTACTCTTTGTACCACTCATATCGCTAAGTAACGCACTTACTGTTAGTACCACATATGTGGCTAAGTAATGCATTTTCTCTTAGTGCCACTCATATCACTAGGTAATGCACTTACTCTTAGTACCACCCATATCGCTAAATAACGCACTCACTCCTACTAACACTCATATAGCTAAGTAACGCACTTACTCTTAGTACCACTCGTATGGCTATGTAATGCATTTTTTTCCTAATACCACTCATATGGCTAAGTAACGCACTTACCCTTTGTACCTCTCATATGGCTAAGTAACGCACTTACCCTTTGTACCTCTCATATGTGCGGAGATAACTACTTCAACGGGAGCTAGACTACGGGCTAGGCACGGGTGCTTGTGTGATCTCTGCGTTCGTTCCTTAGTCGTTTTCCTAGTGTACACACTGCTTGCTAGTTCACGGGGCAAATTGGCAAGAGTTTCACTAGAGAAAGTTGACAACAATAATACAATGAAGTTGGCAAGATAGGACTTTATCAGAGCTAGCATGCAAGCAAGTCTACTGCCAGCGCAGCACGGTCGACCGCGTGCCAGCACGACTTGGTCGACCGCGCTCCAGCACTGCAGAGTCGCGGCTTGCCAATGCTGCAGGTCGACGGCGTGACAACAGCGCAGGTCGACGGCGTGCCAGCGTTGCTCCCGCAGTACAGCATCGCACCCGCTTCGCAGGTGCTCGCAGATGATTGGCGTGCAGTGCCTCGTCACCTGCACAGCGCACACACCAAGTCAACTTCGTGCTGACGACAGCTCGAGCGCACCTACGAGCACGAGATCGTGGAGGAACCAGGTGCGAAACCCGTCTCACATGCACCATACCGACTGAGCCCAACAGAACTGAGACATGAAAAAACAGATAGAGTATCTACTGGACAGACAACTGATTCGCCCATCCGCCTCTCCCTACGGTGCACCAAATCTCTTCACCCCAAAACCAGACGGCAGTCTACGGATGTGCATCGACTATCGCCCACTGAACAAGGAGATAGTAAGACAAAAATATCCCATACTGCGCATAGACGATCCACTGGACCAACTGCGTGGTGCAACGGTCTTTTCGAAGCTGGACCTCTGATCGGGTTACTGGGACATTAAGATGGATAATTTGATCCACAAAACAGCACTCCATACGAGATACGGCTCCTACGAATACTTGGAGATGCCGTTCAAACTCTGCAACATACCAGCCATGTTCTAGGCGGAGATGAACCATATCCAACGGCCCCAGCGGGACGAGTGCGTAGTAGTATATCTGGATGACATACTCATCTACTCCAGGAGCACGTGGAGCATCTGCGGAAGGTGTTCGAGATCCAGCGGGAAAAATAAGTTCTACGTAAAGATGTCAAAGAGCGACTTCGCCCTGAAGAAGGTGCAGTTTCTCGGGCACATGGTGAGCACGGAGAGCATTTACGTGGACCCGCGGAAAATCGAAGCCGTTAAGAAGTGGAAAGTTCCGGAGAATGTGAAGGAGTTGCAGCAGTTCCTAGGCTTTGCCAACTACTACAACAGGTTCGTGCCGCAGTACGCTAAGATAGCAGCGCCACTGACCGACCTACTGAAAAAGGATACACCCTTCAAATGGGATACTCCTCATCAGCAAGCCATGGAACAGCTACAGACAGCACTGACTACAGCGCCAGTACTCATTCAACCGGACCCAGACAAGGACTACGTAGTTGAAGCAGACGCTAGTGACCAGGCAGTCGAAGCAGTACTGATGCAGGATCACAACACGGTTTACAGCCTATCGCCTACCTCAGTAAAAAGCTACACGGAGCAGAACTGAACTACCCCATTCACGACAAGGAAGCCTTAGCCATAGTCGTAGCCTTCAAGGTGTGGAGGTATGGAGTTTACACTGACCACTGCAGCCTCAAATACCTGAAGTCGCAGCCGACGCTCTCACGACGACAGGTACGGTGGGTGGACTAATTGAAGACCCACTTCCACTACGACATCGTCTACAAACCTGGGCTCCACAACAAAGCTAACTAAGCCGCCCAGGTCATATAGCAGGCACCTAGCTCAACTGGATGGACCCTCTGCTCAAGGGTCTATCCAGCATAGGTACTCCGTAGCAACGACAAAAAAAAGAAGCTGTTACAGTGGGATAAAGACTTAGCGGTAAGAAAGGGCACAGGAAGGATCATGAATTACGCCCCGCTACGGCAGATCCTATTGGAGGAGTTTCACGACGTACCATACGCGAGACATTTCGGGAGCAACAAGACGCCATTGAGCAGGAATAGCAAAGTATTACTACTGGCCCCAGATGGCAGCAGACGTGCAACAGTTCGTCACCTCATGCGACATGTGCCAGTGGATGAAGAGTCGCAAGCCGGAAAAAGTAGGGTTATTCCAGCCTCTACCCATACCGGAGCAGCCATGGCAGGTCGTTAGCCTCGACTTTATGACGGGACTTCTTTCGACCTCACGAGGGCATAACGTACACCTCGTAGTGGTCGAGAAATTCACCAACGCCACAGCTACAGCTGAAGCAACTGCTCGTCTCTTCTTCGACCGATCATCACCATCCACAACATCCACGACATCCTCTTTACACTCATCTACACTTACTCTTAGTACCACTCATATCGCTAAGTAAAGCACTTACTCTTAGTACCACTCATATCGCTAAGTAACGCACTTACTCTTTGTACCACTCATATCGTTAAGTAAGGCACTTACTGTTAGTACCACATATGTGGCTAAGTAATGCATTTTCTCTTAGTGCCACTCATATCACTAGGTAATGCACTTACTCTTAGTACCACCCATATCGCTAAGTAACGCACTTACTCCTACTAATACTCATATAGCTAAGTAACGCACTTACTCTTAGTACCAATCGTATGGCTATGTAATGCATTTTTTTCCTAATACCACTCATATGGCTAAGTATCGCACTTACCCTTTGTACCTCTCATATGGCTAAGTAACGCACTTATTCTTAGTACCACTCATATCGTTAAGTAACGCACTTACTCTTAGTACCACTCAGATTGTTATGTAACGCACTTACTCTTATTAACGCCATATGGCTAAGTAAATGCACTTATTCTTAGTAACACTCATATCGATAAGTAATGCACAAACTCTTAGTACCAGTCATATGGCTAAGTAACGCACTTACTCTTAATACCACTCATATCGCTAAGTAACGCACTCACTCTTAGTACCACTCATATCGATAAGTAGTGTACATACTCTTAGAACCACTCATATCGCTAAGTAACGCACTTTCTCTTAGTACCACTCATATGGCTAAGTGATGCACATACTCTTAGTACTACTTGAGGAGATTCACTCTACAACGGTAGTAAGCTAGACTACGGGTGTTGGCACAAACTACAAGGAGTGATTGTAGTTTTGTTTGGTTCCTTAGCACTTGCGCATTCACGGGAGAGATTGGCAAGAGTTTCCACTAGCAAAGTTGGAATTACAGAATGATAGATAAAGCAATGACAGAATGACTACATCATACACCTAGCAACCCTGCAGCTAGCCTGGTCGACCGCCAGCACAGCTCGGTCAACCGCCTGCCAGTGTGGCGTAGAGGAGCCGCGTCAGCACAGAAGTTGGGCGACCTGCCAACAGGGCAGGTTGACGGCATGCCAATACTGCAGCAGAGCGGCTGTCCAGCGTTGCCCCGTAGAAGACAGCAGTGCGCACGCTCGCGGGCGTGCGCAAATGATTGGCCCGACTTGCATTGCGATGCATCCGTCAGCTGTTGTCTGCGCCTGACGAGCCACATCGACTTCGGGATACCAGCCCGAAGTCGCCTTCGTCATCGCGACCTTGACGACGTTCGCGTGCCTCCGCAGAACTCGTCGAACAGGTTACCTGGTCGATCTGGACACCACCAGCCACACTCGTCGGCCATCCAGAGCTTCTGGTCGACCAACAGGCGCCTCTGGTCTGTTGGTGTAAGGGCCTAATAAACTCAAGCTATTAGGACTTAATCAAACTTAAAACCTCTCCTTGGGGTCACCTCCAAGGGTCCCTGGGTGCCTGGTACAAGACCAGCCCCTATCCTCGGGTCCGAGTTTGTAGAGAGAGGGATCAAGAAGGACTTAGTCAAAACAGCAAGAGTACCTTGAACGTCGCGCAGCGTGCCGTGCAGACCGTCGGTCGGATTAAGCTGAGAATTTGCTATATCGAAGCTCGCTTCAAGAGCTTTAAGATGAGCCAAGTTGCCTCGCGAAAAGTTCTGCCATTACTAAGTTATGGCTCGGACAGCGTTTGCCTAGCGTTGGAGTGCTAGCATACTAGCGTTGACTCGGGTAGCATTCCGCCGTTGAATAGCGCAGAAACGAAATTCCAGCGAGGAAGGAATTTGCTTGAATCAATTTGACTATATTCAGGTACAAACAGAGAAGGATTAAATAGTTCTAGCTAGCAAGGACCTTGGGAATCAACCTGGGAACAACCAGGGATGATCCCAAATAATTCCAAGCAACAGAACCAACCTGGCTGGACAAAATAGCAGGTGGTAGGTTGGTAAACAACCTCTGGTTCTGTTTTTCCAACCTGGGAAAACAACAACCAGGTTCAGGTTCTAAAAACAGAACCTGTTTTGTCTTTGCCCAACCAGCCAAATGCTGGTTCCGCTGGTTTCCCCTGGCCTTGTAGCATGCAGATACAGACAAACAACATCCAACCTTCACCTAAATTGTACCCCTATAGTGCCTTCCCTGCTACACTATAGTTAACCAAACAAAACAGTACAATTTCGAGTTGGATAGAACTGAATCTGCGCAATCAACTCAACCGAACTGCAAAGCTTCCATCTTGGGTTCCTTTGCGAGCTCGTCCTTTCTGCTTGCACTGTTCATAGCGCGTACAATGTTGTGCCGAAGCGCACATTGCGCGAGTACCTGCAAATGCATCAAGCGAAAAATGCGAAAGCAAACAAACATACGAACACACCATTCACACGCAAATGCATTCGCACACGCATACTCGTACAAACAGACGGCAGGATGTCGTGCAATGTGCATTTGCACACAACGCCAATGAGGCTCATCCGCAAGCCTCTTGGTGAGAAAGTCTGCTGGCTGCTGGTGAGTCTTGATGTAGATCGGATGCACCGTCCCCCTCTTCACCTCCTTACGCAGCCAGTGCCACTTGATACGCATGTGCTTGTTCAGCCCATGAAGCACAGCGTTTCTGGCCATCCCAAGAGCCCCCTTGCTATCACAAAACAGCGGCGTAGCAACTTTCTGCTCCTGGCCAATCTCCTCTAACAGCCTCCTCAGCCAAATCACCTCCTTCACCCCATGGAACATCGCCATGTACTCTGATTCTACGGAAGAGAGTGCCGTCTCCGTCTGCTTCTTGGACCTCCAACTAACAGGTCCTCCTCCAACTACGCAGATGTATCCTCCCACAGATGAGGAATCCTCCTTCTCAGAAGCCCACGTAGCATCGGTAAAGCAAGTGAGAAATAGCTTGCCTTCTCCAAGCCTCTCCCCCTTCTCTTTCAGCACCTCCACCCCTTTCTGCTTCACCTGTGCAGATGCGGAGTATTGAACTCCAATGCTTGGGTGAGAGTTCAGGTACTTCACCACACGCTCAGCTGCATCCACCTGCTCCTCTGATGGATTCTGCACCACCCTAGCCAGCTGCCCAACCGAGAAAGAGATGTCGGGCCTCGTGTGAACTGCTGCGTACAAGAGGCTGCCCACCAAGGACTGAAATTGCTGCTGCTCTTCAGCTTCAACCCCTTCATCCTCTGCAGCCTTCACAAGCTTGAATTCTGCTGGCAGGGGAGTTGCAACCTTGCGCTCATTCTCAATCCCATACTTCTCCCCCAGCTCCTTGATGAACTTCTCCTGGTGCAGCTTCAACCACCTGTGATCTGGATCCCTCTCCACGTGCATCCCGAGGTAGTACTTTACCTCCCCAAGGTTCTTGCACTTGAAGTTTTCCATCAGTTGCTGCTGCACTTTCTGGATCTCCTTCATGCTGCTGCTGAAGAGAAGAATGTCGTCCACATAGACTAGAAACAGCACCAGCTTCTCCCCCTCGCCCTTGAGAAAGAGGCTCTCATCACAGCTGCTGGTTCTGAATCCCATCTCCTCTAAAACAGCTGCCAACTTCTGGTACCAGCAGCGTGGCGCCTGCTTCAAGCCGTAGATGGACTTGTTGAGCTTGCACACCCTGCCCGTACCATCCTCATACCCAGGCGGCTGCGTCATGTACACATCCTCCTCTAAAATCCCATTCAGGAATGCCGTTGAAATATCCATCTGAATGATGAATTTCCCACTAACAGCTGCATCTGCCAACAAGACACGGAGGGTAGGGGGTTTGGCAGTGGGAGCAAAGATCTCGTTGAAGTCCTGCTTCTCCTTCTGCATAAACCCCTTCGCCACCAGCCTACTCTTGTAGATGGTGACCTGCCCCTTGTCATCGGTCTTGATCCTCAGCACCCACTTGCATTGTATCGCTTTCTTCCCATCAGGCAGCACCACCAGATCCCATGTCCTATTCTCCAGCAGACTCTGGTACTCAGCATCCCTAGAAGCCAGCCACTTGTCCCTATCTGGTCCAGCTAATGCCTCCTCCATGCTAGCTGGTTCCTCTGGTGCAGGGGCAAGAAAACAGTACGCAGGCTCATCCTCCTCATCCGAGTCATAGCCATGAGGTAGAATCAGCAATGCCTCTTCGGTCCCTAGCTGCTGCTCTGCTGCATCAGTTCCTGCAGTCAGCTTCTTAGTAGCCATACGGGTACGTCCTGGCCTGGAGACGGGTGTCTCCCATCCCTTCATAACGACACCCTTC